CCACTGCGGCGGCACTATCTGCAGTTATGCATATACAGATTTTCAGCATCACGCTCATTTCACAATACTAGCATGTACTGAGTGCCCTAGAGACATACCTTGCGCCTCGTCGAGCCGCCTGCTCATAAGCGTGATATCATCATCTGCCACATCAACTTTCTGCTTCAATTGTGCTACCTCGATAGCTTGGGTAGTCCCCACGGATGTAACAACCTGCGTTTCAAATAATCATATCATTTCCTGGGCATCTATTTCTGATCCTCTGATCGCATTTCTTTGGATGTCAACCAGAGTCTCAGGGGCTACTATCTATACACAGGTGCATTTCGCACTTATAATATAATTGAAATTACTCTACGTACCTCGAAGCCTCTTAGTAGGCTAGAAAAGGCTTCATTCAATCCGCTTTTTGCGGACCGAACTCTCTCCAACACCATACTCATCAAGGTACGATGTTCCTCTGAGACGGAGGCATGTCGCAAAATGTCCATCAATGCATCCGGCGTCCCTTGGACATCTGATAGTCCGGGACTTTTGTTGTTCCCTGTAGGGGCCGCACACCCCGGACCCTGGGCGGCTGAAGTATTGCCTTTGGCCCCGGTCCTCATTGTCCCTTGTGCCACTTGCAAATTGGGAAGGATCCTCCAGGACGACACCTCGGCGTCGTCTGCCTTATCAGGCAGGGAGATTTGTGGAGGCGTCTCGCTCTCCATCATCTCCGAAAGTAGATCCCCCGAGGAGGAGGACTGTTGAGGAGGGTTGCGTTCCGGACTGCAAACATGAGTTTAAAATATTACCCTTATAGCCAGAAATAAACGGGACATGTTTAAAACACACGGATTCACTTACGATGCGGCTGAGGGCCTATCTTTGTGGGGTGACTGTGTATCAATATCACCCCCTGACTGGGATACCTTCCCCCGCTTACAAGCTTCTCTTTCTGAGTCTTCGGAAGCGGCCCTTTTCTTCCCATGGGGAGAAGGGGTGTCAGTTCGCCCTTCCCTTCCACCTTTGGAAGCGAGAGTTCTAATCCCCCCCGAATGAATTGCCTGGTGAGCCTCTAGAGTGGAAGCTGCCTTGGGCCTCTTTGTCCTCCTCTTTATCTTCCCCTACCGGCACTTGATACGGCGTCGGAGCCAACATCCTTGTTAATAACGGATCGACAGTATCTTCTGGAAGTGGAGCCGAACACTTGATTCTCTCCACCTTCTTTAGCCAGCCCTAGCTGGATAGAGTTTTATCAGTACATTGTCATGAATAATTTGACTAAATCATGTTCGGGGTCGAGTACTTACCGGAGTATCCGGATGGTTGCAGTCAAGACCGATGCCTTCTGTAGTATCCGACCACTGTTTTCGTGCGCCTAAGAACAATTTCCACATCTCTCTGAGCATCGTGCCAGAGAGGTGCTGAAGAGTCCGTGGACCTTCCGGATTAAATTCTCACATGCGGAGAGGGCGTCACTGACAGGGTAGGATCCGGCAGACTAACATTACTTGGATTACACCAATGAGACCGGTGTCCTTCTCAATAAGGCTCGGATGCGGCTTTGCAGTGTCCGCACTTCATCTGTAGATCCCCAGTCCAGCCCCTTGTTAATCCATGATGCGATCTGCGGCGGAGGGACGTACCGAAACGCATGAGCAGCTACCCGCTTTATACCGCGGGGTTCGGTGATGTAAAACCACTCCCGTTGCCATAAGTCAGAAGATTCTGCAAAGGAGCCCTTTGGCCAAGTGGAGTTGATAAGCTTGCTTATTGAAGCGCCTCCGCACTCCGCTTGTTTCCCGTCGATTACCTTCGGTTTCACGTTGAAGGTCTTAAGCCATAAGCCGAAGTGTGGGGAAATACGGAGGAAGGCCTCGCATGTGGTGATGAACGCCGAGATGTGGAGGAAGGAGTCCGGGGCTAGATCGTCTAAATCTAGCCCGTAATAAAACATTGCCCCTCGAACAAAGGGATGGAGTGCAAACCCAATCCCTCGAAGGAAGTGAGAGATAAACACGACCCTCTCATTGGATCTAGGAGTAGGAATAACCTGCCCTTGAGTAGGAAGCCTGTGGTAGATCTCTGCAGTCAAGTATCTTGCCTCCCTGAGCTTCGAGATGTCTTCCTCTGTGACAGAATAGGCCATCCACCGGCCTTGAAGGCTGTGTCCTGACATGGTTGGCAGCTCGAAGCGACTGGATCGACCCTTGTGTGTTGGAGCTTGAGGTGGGAGGGGGAGGAAGGGACTAGCGTGGAAGAAAAAGGACAGGCCTTAGCCCCTTTATAAAGACGACGAATATCAAACGTCCCTCTGTGGCCTTAAAACATGCCTATTCCCAAGGAGACATGCCAACAGGACGGTTGGGTTACCCATGCCTGTGTTGATGAAAATCTCGTAATAAGGGGACACGATCTCTGTTTTGACGAGACGTGCCAATGAAAACCGCCTCCCGAAACATGGGGAGGCGGGCTAGAGAATGATTCACAATAATGGCCGGGGGATGACATAATGCCACCAAGATTGTCAGCGGATTGGACTCATGAAACATTATACTCTCTGCGGGTACATGTGGAATTTGTTTTGCAGAGCCGGACACGATTGTTGTGTTCGGAATTTACTTTGAAGTATTCGTAGGAGGAACCCGCCTTGCAATGCCAAAGACAATCTGCGCGTCGGACTCATCGTCATTGAAGCCTGGTTCAGGGGTTACCGAGGGAGTCCTGGACTAAGGGGTCCTCGGATAGCCGAACTATATACTTTGGCCGGACGGTTGGACTATGAAGATACAAGATAGAAGACTTTGTCCCGTGTCCGGATGGGACTCTCCTTTGCGTGGAAGGCAAGCTTGGCGATTCGGATATGTAGATTCCTTTCTCTGTAACCGACTTTGTACAACCCTAGCCCCCCCGGTGTCTATATAAACCGGAGGGTTTAGACTTCTAGGGTTTAGTCACAACAATCATAATCTCATAGGCTAGACTTCTAGGGTTTAGACATTACGATCTCGTGGTAGATTAAGTCTTGTAATACTCATATTCATCAAGATCAATCAAGCAGGAAGTAGGGTATTACCTCCATAGAGAGGGCCCGAACCTGGGTAACATCGTGTCCCCCGCCTCCTGTTACCATTAGCTTTAGACGCACAGTTCGGGACCCCCTACCCGAGATCCGCCGGTTTTGACACCGACAGCGGTCGCGAGGCTTCTTCGTTTTTCGTTGATCCGCCGATCTTGGCATTTGTTTCTTTTATGTTTTCTCTTTCGTTTCTTTTTGGGCGTGACTGTGCTGCTTCCGCCCCAACACCTATTGTTGGTTGTATCGTGGTAGTTGCTTTGTAATACAAAGCGGGGGAAAACCCTTTCTCGGTAGAACAAAAGGTCTCCGCTATATCATAGCGGTATTACCTCACCTCGTGATGTTGCACTCTCATGCAAACTTGGT